AATGTACCACTTAGCCGTATACTATTTAGCTAAGTTGTTTGAATTGTAAATATCAACCCGTCGTTAAATAGACCCTAAAGGTCTCGGGCTCATATATGTTTGTTGTTTCGTATGTGCTTATTAATATTTACGCATATGAGATCATGCATACCTAAGACATGCAACATGCTGTACATACTTCTCAGAGATACGTGCGCAAACATATAGACATACAAGCACACAGATGCACAGTGCAGGCGTGCAGGCATAAATGCGTACATACAGGCAAGCACATGTAGGTTCTTGCAAGGGCTTCACTCCTCTAGTGTTCACAGGTGCAGGGTTTAGGGTCGAGGCTTTTGCCGCTTTTGGTTTCATTCTTGGGCCAGGTTTGAGATTGGCCTCGGGAGCGATTAACTCTGCGGATTGATAGCAGGATGCAGGGTTTTGGGCCCGAATTGGCCGAAGTGTGATGATATCTGCATTGCGTGCACCAGCCTGGTCATTCAGAAGGAGCTCCCGAGCGGTCGCGCACCTTACTGTGCCCATCCGGTAGCGTTGTAAGCTTCGCTAAACGCTTCTCTAAACACTGCAGGGCTACATAGCCCATCAGAGAGAAATACGTGCAATCTGTTTATTGCCAGCAAGCTCTCACACTCAGTCCATTTGAGGGTACCTTCCGAGCTTGGTGTATGGAGGGCGGACAGCATACAAGATTTTTTTTTCGCCGGCTTATGGCCCGGGGGTGGGTTGGGGACAATGTTGGGTTCATTCTATGGAATCGTTCTTGGATCACTAGTCACTAGTGTGTCTGGCATGCCTGCTGAATACAGCCGGAAACCTTGCACCCTATTTCTTGACATGCAGAACCTAAGATTGTATTTATCCTTCGGGAGAATCCCTGTCAGACAACCGTAAGCCACAATACCAGTCGGGCTCCGTGTCGAAGTCCGTTGGCGGGTATTGTGAAACCTGACACGGCAGGTGCGAAAGGGCCTTCAAGATTTGGAGGTCAAAGGCCAAACGTTGGCAGGCTTGAAAGTGTAGATTCAGTTTAGCTCGTCATGATGTTTGTTTCCCTCTGCAGCTGACCGAAGCAAATGCAAAGCATTGCATGTCCACTGAGGAAGAAAGGGCTGGGCCTCTGTACGTAGCGATGCTTGGTGTGCAGCTCGTAGCTATGCTTAGATTTGGTTGAACTCTGTCGAATGCTGCAAACGCTGCAGCAACATGGTCACATTGAGTGTGCCCTCCAGCTCCAGGAGACTTATACTGGTCTCCCACCAACAGCCCAAATCGCGAAAGGCTAGCCTTCGCCTCGTTCACGGCATGCTTGGGGGTCATCCCGCCGCCGGCTTCCGCTAGGGCATCCACTTCGGCCATGGCGCTGGAAAGTAGCGAAAGGCCTCCACTGCGACGGAATCCGAACCCCTAGACTATGGAAGTCCGAACATTCAAGATCCAAGATCTTGTCCTCGAACACCTCGAACAAAAGGTGATTGGAGACCCCGTATGTGAGTCAGCGGTCTTGCTCGCCCGTTACCTGATGTAGGTTCCGGTGTGAAGTGATTCTGCGGCGCCAACTGCCTTAAGTCTGGAGGACGTCTGACATGTCTGGTCACTGGAGTGGTCAGTGCAAGGAGAAATTTCGTAGTAGCCACTGGAGATTTGGAGGATCAACACTCCGTATTTCCACGATGGATGCTGCCAAACCTTACCCAGCAATTGAGAAGATGCAGTATCTTCTCTGCAGCTGCAGTGGCTGCGGTCCAGCAAAGCTTGCGACGTTGCCCTTCAACAGCAAACCAAATGCTTCCAAGAATTCACGCTGAGGGGTGTGTGTGTGTGTGTGTGTGCGCGAGCATCTTGTCCCGTGATGCTGTGAATATGAGGCAAAACCGTTTGCTAGCTCCAAGAGAGACCCACACACCTCGACAATCTTGAACCTTGAACCCTCAGCCGCACACATGAAATTCCCTTAACCCTCGACCACCTTGATCCCATCCGGACATAACCGTTTAAACCCGACAGACAAACTCGGATGACTATACACCTTGTGGGAACTTGCATGCTCAATGCATCATACACAAATCCAGCGACAAGTACTCGGATGGTATGGAGCCAAGGTCGTGTTCCCGCCTATGGCTGGGGTACTCTACCATCCCATAAATGACCTCTGCAATCCTCTGCAACATCTTCATCAGCAACGCCATGATGTCAGACGCCGCGATGTCAACACAAAGGGTTGCCATGGTCCTTCTTCCTTCGGTGCATTTTGGAGAGACCCGTGTGTAATCCCAGCACGGGCTCGAAGACGGAGCACCAACTGGTATCACCAGTTGGAGGCTGTCCTGTGTTGGCAAGCTGCCTCCAGAACAGTGCTGGCTGTTTAGTGCGTTAGCGTGAAGAAAGGCCCTCTCCAAGCGTGCCACATGAAGGGCCATGCCTCAACATGAGAACCTTCCCATCTACTCTGCGGTGCTGTTTTGGAACAATAAGCGCAGCCTGCGCAAAAGCTCGACGACAAGCACCTCCACTGCACGGAACTGGGCCTAATTGTCAAATGCCATTGACCTCTATATACCTTCATCAGCAACGCCATGATGTCAGACGCCGCGATGCCAACACAGAGGGATGCCATGATCCTTCTTCGGTGCATTTTGGAGAGACCCGTGTGTAATCCCAGCACGGGCTCGAAGACGGAGCACCAACTGGTACCACGAAAGGCGGCTGTCCTGTGTTGGCAAGCTGCCTCCTGAACAGTGCTGGCTGTTTAGTGCATTAACGTGAAGAAAGGCCCTCTCCAAGCGTGCCACATGAAGGGCCATGCCTCAACATGAGAACCTTCCCATCTACTCTGCGGTGCTGTTTTGGAACAATAAGCGCAGCCTGCGCAAAAGCTCGACGACAAGCACCTCCACTGCACGGAACTGGGCCTAATATGTCAAATGCCATTGACCTCTATATACCTTCATCAGCAACGCCATGATGTCAGACGCCGCGATGCCAACACAGAGGGATGCCATGATCCTTCTTCGGTGCATTTTGGAGAGACCCATGTGTAATCCCAGCACGGGCTCGAAGACGGAGCACCGACTGGTACCACCAAAGGCGGCTGTCCCGCGTTGGCAAGCTCCCTCCTGAACAGTGGTTTAGTGCGTTAACGTGAAGAAAGGCCCTCTCCAAGCGTGCCACATGAAGGGCCATGCCTCAACATGAGAACCTTCCCATCTACTCTGCGGTGCTGTTTTGGAACAATAAGCGCAGCCTGCGCAAAAGCTCGACGACAAGCACCTCCACTGCACGGAACTGGGCCTAATATGTCAAATGCCATTGACCTCTATATACCTTCATCAGCAACGCCATGATGTCAGACGCCGCGATGCCAACACAGAGGGTTGCCATGATCCTTCTTCGGTGCATTTTGGAGAGACCCGTGTGTAATCCCAGCACGGGCTCGAAGACGGAGCACCGATGTGTTGTAGCATCGCGGTAGCGTAAAACTTCGGGGCATTAATTGACTTGAAACCACTTTTGTGAACACTGGAATGACACAACAAGCTCAAACACTCAAACACAGAGGGAAGGACGAAGACAGTAAAGGAAGGAACCAACACACAGTCGTGTTTGCAGTCATGGTCGTGGCTGTTTCCCGAGCCTTCAGATTTGCACTGCAAACCGCACATGGAAATGAAATATAGATGTCTCAGCTCGCCTAGGTGGAGAACTTGATCACATACCCCTCGCCCTCACAAGGAAAACGACGTGGTTCGTCCAAGAGACTTGCAGCCTGAATTGTCTAGGTGATCTCGGGCATCTTCTGTTTATCGCCACACACGACGATGCCGCGACGGTGCCCTTGGACAATGCATGCGCTTGGACAATGCCTGCTTCACCTTGCAACCCATCAGCAGCTGAAGCAATGAATCAGCATCGGGGGAGCCGTTGCGATGTACTTGGATTGCTTCCTTGTCGTCTGCAGACAATGCCAATGCGGTGTCGTCGATGGCTGTGCGCAGCAAGGCCGACCATGCATGCACATGCGGTTCCCCCGCAGGGAGCTGACCTTGGCCATCGGTCTGCAAGCTCTTTGGTGGCTACCAGCGCTGACTGCACGTAGGGACTGTTCTGTTCCGAAGTTACGTGTCTGGCATTAAGGACGTAGGGCAGGGGTCGGCTAAATCTTCGACAAAAGCCCACAAAAAGCAACAAGAGTAGAACCGCAAACCCGAACTGCTTACGTTGAAGAACAAGCGAAGGCTTAGGGCTTAGGGTTAGGGTGCCCTAAACCCACACCCACAGCTCGCGTTGGCTCTTTGTCGCTCCAGCTCCGAGCAAATAGACTTGCATCGGTCAGCTCTGACCTCACACATCACTGTGAAGAGAAGAGAGTACGAATCCTTACAAGCCTTGCATGCTACGGTCTTTGCTCGTGACAACAATCTTCAATGAAAACGAACGGTTTCTCAACTTGTAGCATGGAGTCCCTTGTGCCAGAGGGTCAGGGTTGTAGGGTGCCGGATCAAAAGAACTCAAGCAGGATCAAAAAAGAACTTATGTCCCCAGGGACCAAAGAAATAATCAGGAACCAAGAAGAAGCTGCGCACCTCCCATCATTTGCAGCAGATACTGCATGTCAGGTCCCCGCGTCATATTTTTCAATACAAATGCTCACGGCGCGCGTCTGCCGTTGTGGCGCGGTGCATCGCGGTGCATAGTTTTGTGCTGACGCGCTATTAGTTACAGAGGATTCGCTTGCCGCGTGCGCCCGGGGGCCAGGATTCATTGTATATAAAACGGCATAGACCATTTTTACTCTCGACAACTTTGCATCGCAGCAGTACTTGTGGGAAGCGACACTGAATCTCGCAAGCTAAGGTGGGGAAACATGACGATTTCGTCGTGCTTTCAATTGTGTCTGAATCCCATCAGTACTTGGGGAAGGCATTCGAGGTGTGGTTTGAACGCGCCGATACTTGAAGGAAAGCATTTTGGCAATGTCCTTGTGGTTGTCAAGTGCTCCTGGTTGTCTTTTTGTGGTCTGCTTCCCTCGTCGTTGTCGTCCAGGTCGTGTGGTCGTTCTTTGTGGTTGGTAACATGGCGTAGGTGTTGGAATAACACTGATGGCAACTAGTTGTGACCTGCGTTTTCCAAAGCATTTCATGCCTGTTCACACAGTGGTCGTGACGTCAGGGTCACGTCAAAACGGCATGCTTCTGGTGTGATTTTCGCTGTTTGAACTGCACCGGCATAATAGCATTAACAATTCTAGGAGAACTGATAGTAGCAATAGTAATGACTGTGATGTTAACAATAATGATAACCATAGTAATATCAATCGTAGTAATTTTCGTTGTTGTTGTAACAATAGTAACAATAATAATAATCATCATCATGATACTGACAGTACCACAAGCAACAATAAGAGTGATGCTACCAGTGTTGTAGTGGTCGTAGTAGTAGAGCTACTTAGTAGCAGTAGTAGTCGTCGTCGTAGTGGTAAGAACAATCAGGATAATAAACGCAGTAAGAGTTGTTGCACCAGCAGAAAGAATAAGACTAATGCTACTGAACCGCAGAACAGGTAACAATGGTTTGGACAGGAGTGGAGCTTAAGTTGTTCGCGCCAAGCCGATCCAGAGCCCGGACTTCATGTGAAACAAAGTGTCAATAGATGCGAGCAAATGTGCCGTGAATGTTTTCTTCTCAGAACGGTATTCTGCGTAACAGCGACCAGAGTCTGCATGTGGAGAAAATTCACATTTTTCCCATAAATGTTCTGTGAGGACGTAAGGTTTGGGTTATTGTTTCAGTCATCAAAGATGGAGGAATGTCATGACCCTCCCCTCCTCCTTTCTCGCCGGGCCTGGGCGCTGGACCGGCGCGGTGTACGTTTTTTTTCTGATCCTGTTTATTTTTTGATACTGTTAAACTTGTTTGATCCACATGCCAGGGCGGTGTGAGGCTTCGTTCATTTTTGCAAAGCTTCCTGGGGATTCATCGTATGTAGGATCATTCACAGGTTGTCCTGGGCTCAATGCAAGATATCGAGAGTTGTTGCGCCCCTAGAGGGACGAGGGTTCACAGTGCAGTCGATGAGATGTGAGCACAGGCGGCGTCAGACTTATATAGCTAGTGCCTTGCACGTGTTTAAGCTATGGCATCAATTCACGGACTGCTGAGTGCCCTGCAGACAGCATTGCTCAAGGTGCTTCATCACCGGCCTGGCCAGTACTGTTCCAGCACAAGCCGCTGATGTATCCTGATTGCTTTTTTTGGAACCAGTCTCCCCTGTGTTTTGCATCTGTTTCGATAACGATGCAACACCTCCGAGGTTGGCAGTGCTACATGTATCGTGGCTGTGTTAAGCAGTGCAGCCCCGTCTGGCAGGATGAAAGGAGATCTACTCTTCAGAATCCCTCGCCTCGCAAACAGTGGCTGCCCAGCCTGGCGCGGGATGGGACTTATCGTGGCGCTGCGGAGAGGCACAGCGACTCATTCGGCAGGGTTGTCCGGGACATACCCTCAGCATGTATCCACAAGACTCTGAAGGGAAGGCCGCTCCTGCTTTGCAGTCGGATCGCGTGAGCCCGGTTCACGGCACCTCGAGAGCCGCATCGGCAGCAGCGCCGAAGACGTCGGCACCAGGGGCAACTCGCCGTCTGGCACCGTGGGCAACTTTCCGACATGAAGGAATTTGCACTGAAGAGTTTGTTATCCAGTGAGGATTAAGGTTTGCTCAGACTGCCCATGCCACGGGTCCAGGCTTGTTGGAATTCAGGTTGGATTTTACGGTGGTGGTTTGGAAATCATGCCTCCTCAGGCCCTACACTTGTAAGGGTCTTTACAGCTATTTCTATTATGTTTGCCAAATAATTTGTTTTCCGAATTCAATGCGAAACACAACGGATTCAGAAATGCGAAAACAATGGATCCAAAAATTGGATTGCAATACAAGAAGCCAACCACGTGCAATAATTAATGCAAAACTAATGGGCTTGAACAAGCAATAACAATGGGCCTGGGGCATGTGCGAATCCCTCTGTGCTTTCCTTTAAATGTTTTCCGAGGAGAAAACAAAACCAATGGACAATGCAGAAACCTCGTGTGTTTCCTTTATTTTCGCTTTATTTTCGGCTTTAACTATGGAACATGCACAAACCCGTGTGTTGCTTTTTTTTCGCGTTGTGGCACATTTTGATGAAGTATCGTTTATTTTCCTCCATTATGTTTGCGTCGTTTTTGTTGTTTTCCTGCATTACTTGCACCTTTCGGTGTTTTTCACAATGTGGAGCCATTCTTGTCGCTTTCCATGTCTGTCCTTTTTGTAGACCCAGTATATTTGCATTCCAATCGCATTTTGGATTTGGCTCTGTTCGCATTATGTGTCGCATCGGTGCAGGACCCTCCCGAAGATATGCAGTTTTCCTCCTTAAACCTGCATCAGATATACGCCTTTCCTTCCTGTATGCAAGTCTTTCTTGTTTTTCAATCGTGTCTATGCGGGAATGATGGACTGTGTTGTCGTCATTGCGATTGCGGAAGTAAAGCAAGCACGAACCCAGAATCAATGTCCGCAATCCCTGGCAGCATAGTTAAGAGGTGTGCAAAACAGGGGTTTTCACAACCCTACACCTCTCTCCTTGACCTGACCACATACTGCCAAAACACAATCTCCGAAATAGGACGCAATCGGACTGCCCTGACTCTTCTCTCGTGCTCTTCCAACATCGCTCGGGTCCGGGGCTTGGGTTAAATCTGCTGTCTAGCTGCAGCGCCCGACCTGAAAGCCGAAACGTGAAACTAAACTTCCAGAAACATCGCAGCACCTCTGCATCTGCCGCATCAAGGCAAAGATCATGTCCCAATACTCACCGCCGCTGCTTCTGCCTGCAAGGTGTGTTGCACTGCTCAAAGATGTCTTGTTTGAGGGTTCTCTTAGGCATACATGGTCTCGCAGAAAGACAGACCGACGGGACAAACCCTTACAAGCATGCACACCCACACACGTACACACACGCACCAAACATACAAGGAAGGCAAACACACACACACACATACATTCACTCACTCACACACAAACACACAAACACACAAACACACAAACACACAAACACACAAACACACAAACACACAAACACACTCACTCTCACTCTCACTCTCACTCTCACTCACACTCTCACTCTCACTCTCACTCTCACTCTCACTCTCACTCACACTCTCACTCTCACTCTCACTCTCACTGACCCACTCACTCACACGCACACACACGCACACACACACACACTCACACTCACTCTCTCTGGCGCAATCGAAGGCTGAAATCTCACCGACGTCAATGAGGTCTGACATGCAACCTGCCCTTCCGGTCAAATTGACACCTTCAATTTCGATCAGATATTCATCTAAGCCAAGTGCTCGAGGCAAGCGATCTCTGTCTGTCTTAAGTCTTAAGTCAGAAATTTTTAGCTCACTACCCATCACAGCTAGGACTGCCGAAGCTCCCTCGAGCATCCAGTGTTACAGTCTTGATCTTCTTGGCTCTAGGGAGCTGAGTGCGGGGCAGGCCGCCACAAGACCGTTGTAGGTCACCTGGCTCATGCAAAGGGAGCGGCAGGTTGAAACAACACCAACTGCTTTTGTCTGTTGTTCCTCATCCTTGAAAATTATTCTGTCTTTGAGCAACTTGTTGAATCCCCAGACAACCCAGACAAGCATGGCCACTATCTTTAGCTCAGCTAGTTGGCTATACAGCTACAGCATGCTACAGCTACGTCGCCTGGCCAGGAGAACACATCCAGTCAACCACCATAAGCTGAACCGCCTCAACTTTGTCAACCGCGAATGGCCGAGGCTATGCGCAGCATGTTTAGCGAACAACGATCAAGCTTCAACGCAAATTCCGCGATCGGATTGTCATGGACTGCACAACCCATGTAGCATTCGGAATGTCCCCTGCAGCTAGACATTTAATCCAGGGTCTCGGTAGCTGTCCAAAAAAGCTGCAACACATTCGAGAGCGGTATCGGCTGATTGCCAAGCTCGACTCGACAGTGTTGACATCGCTCTAGTGGATGCATGCAATTGACGCTTCGAAAGACAGTACGACACAGACCAGTGTGACTACCCGCTGAATATTCCGTCAACTGAGTCAACTCATCGGACTGTGTCATGTGGATTGCCCGAACACGCCCGATAAGATGCTCGTTGGGCACCTTGTCCGGCGTTTGCACATTGAGTCTAGCTCGGAAAGAGCTGGAGTAACAGGGAAACGGCACACGACACACCACCGCGACACGCGACACGAGCGTCAGTGTCTTGGTCAAGTTCTGGAGCATGGACGTGGAGAGCGCCCATTGGCAAGTTTTTGGGCATTGGCTGCGTGTTAGCCAGGCCCATGGACAGAACCATGGGATTGCAATCTGCAGTTGCTGAAATTTCTTCCATTGGCGACCGACTATCATTGTGATCTGGATGACACGACACGCGACATGTGCCATGGCACGACACGCGAACCCCACCCCACCCCACTCCATCCCCACCCCACACCACACCCCACACCACACACCACAGTCCACAGACCACAGACCACAGACCACCTACCACACACCGCCTACCAAACACCACCAACCACACATGTCACACCACCTACAACACACCACCTACCACACACCACCCACGCACCACCTGCCACACCGCCTACAACGCGCCACCTGCAACACACCATGCCCCGCCTACCACGCCCCATGCCCCACGCCACGCAACACAACCAACAGCGAGGGACACCCCGAGAGATACACTGAGAGACAGCGAGATACACAGAGGCATAGACAAGGAGACAGAGAGACAGACAGACACCCAGACAAGACAGACAGGACAGACAAGATACACCAGGCAGATCAGACAGACCAAACAGATTAGACAGACCAGCAACACCAGATACTTAATGACTTATAAGGGTTGTGGAGGTTACTAAACGCTTAACAATTGGTTACCATAAAAAGCTATATAAGTGGCTGTACAAGGGTTTACATAAAGAGGGTTATATACAGGATTACACAAGTTATCATTGGCTTAGAAGCCAGCATTATTTGGTATTGCGAAGCTCGCACTGGCAGCTCGGACCTCAATCTTTTCTACCGCCGCAAACGAAAGTGAATCTCTTGTGAAACTAGCTGTGGCAACTGCTCCTGCTGAGCTGTGGTGTCTGGTATTCAAGCAGACCGGATGCAGCTACCGGGCGGGCACATGTGCGCACCAACTTCTGACTCGGGCCAGCTGACAAGTCGACGGCGGTGCTGTTGCCATACACTCAGGCGAATTCCACACTGGTAATTTTATAGTTCGCCGTCGGCATCATCGCTCACATCTTCAGCTGCAACTTCTTGCGCAACCCTTGCCCTTCTTGCTGCTTTCTGGTCCGCCTTGTCCTTGTGCTCGTCAACCTTGCCTTTTCGGCGAGCTCGTTCGGCTTGCTTTCGAAGCTTGAGCTGCTGGTTGGCCTCGGTCTGCACAAGGGACATCTTCCCACACCGCAGGAGCTCGCGCAAAGTGTCCTTCTCGGCCCCCGCTTTCGTCAGCACATTTGCCACGTTCTGGGCCCCGTCTATCCAACGAACCCAGGCCCCTGGCTTCCTCACGGTCTCTCGCAGCAAAGCTCCCTCTATCGCCATCCGCTTGTCGCTGCTGGTGCTGGTGGCATCTTTGGACAGGTAGTCGAAGACAGATCTGGCGTCGGTGATATACACGCGCTGCCTTTGTTCAATCACACGGTCCCAGTTCTTCAAGTCCACGCCTCCATTCAAAGCCTCTTCCAGCAACGCTGTCACCCAGTCGCCAGCTTCCACAGCCTCTGCAAGGTGACTCGCCTCTGCTGCAAGCGTAGACCGGCAAACCCGCTTTGTCAAAGTCGAGTGGTACGATATAATGTTCACGCGGGCCTCCTTGCCATCTAAGATATCTCTGTTGGCCAGGAGCAGGAAATAACCGCCAACACTCCGGTAACGAAGTTCTTCGTTGTGGTCCGGGGTCCCGTTGGCGTGTCCAGAGTCAGCGAGGTGCAGCACGGCACAGTCATTTAAATCCACATCGGACCAATATCGCATCTTGAAATCTGCGCCTCTGCGGGCCATGCCAATGTACTGCTTCAGCCTCACCAAATCTGCAACACAGGCCTCGCCTTTGCACCTTTGGATCACCCCGTTCTCGTAAGCCAAGTCGCACCTCAATTGGCGCGTTAGCCAACCGAGTTCCCCGGCTGCACTCTGCAGCCTCTCTTGCTCCTCCGGGGTGAGCTCATCTTCGAGCTGTTGCCGACGTGCTGTCGGTATGGTCACCGTCTTCGAACTCAAAGCATAGTTGCGCATGCTGACGTCGATGTGGTGCTGCTCGCTCTGTTTCACCTCTCGCCCACGAAATATAAAATCTCGGAAGTGATTGGTGGCAAACTCCAGAGCCTTGGCCGAACGCGCAAACGCTGAGGTTAAATACTTCGAGTGCACGCCGCCTTCCAGGTCATCGATGTGGGTAACCAAAATACCACGCAAACGCCCCTCAACTCGATAATAAAAGAGCGCCGGCTCGAGCTTGCTCTCTTGCCAGCCATCAGAGATCAAATGCTCCCGGAGCGCTAGCCAGAATAGCCGGGCCGCCTCCGCAAAACCATAAATGGCCTTCCGTGCTCGGAGGAGCTGCCCTGCCACTAGCCCAGGCAATCCTCCTCGAGGCTGCTCCAGGTAGATCTCCCGCTGTACGCTCTTGCCCGAGAAATAGGCATTCTTAATATCTTTGGCAAACAGCACGAACTTGTGAAAAGCGCAAACGGCCAAGCAAATGCTCTCGGCAATCTGGCTGGCTGTCGGTGCGTCTCGCCGATAACTGCCGAGGGACTTGTCCTTAAAACCTTGCACCACCAAACGGCTTTTCGCCTTGAACTCCTGCCCGACCAACCCGTCATTCTTGTTGGTCCTCACCCACCTGGTGGGTATGATCAAGTCGGGCTTGCTCCGGCGAAGCCTCTCACTCTCGGCCAAAGGAAGAACGTCGCACGCTTCCTTTCCCTGCCAAGCTGCCCATTCTTTGGCATCGGACCCCTCCGGTCCCGTGAAAAGTTTCTGCTTCTCGGCGTCCAGCTCCTTGAGGTAGAGCTCCTTTCGGCCCTTCTTCTTTGGCTCCGGCCTTTGGTGACTGGTGGCGGCCATTGCCTCGTACGTGTCCTGGAAGCAGTTCCGCTTGAACCCAAAGAGGAAAACGTCTTGCGTCACACCGGCCGCCAAATACGACCGCTCGCCCCTCTTGTAGCTTGCTTGGGCCTTGGCACGTAGGTAGCTCGGCTCGCTCGAGGCAAAGTAGGCGTCACACCCCTCTACCACAAAGTTGGCTGAGTGCCCTTGCTCCACCACTCGTTGTCTCTTGGCCTCGCGCTCTTGCGCCTCCGCCTCCGGGTTGTCGGCAATCGGGGACAATTGCCGCGTCATTGGCGGATGCCTGTAATCATGAAGCTCCGGGTCGTACTCCATCTGGGTCTCCTCCATGAACAGGTCTGGGTCGTCAGCGCCCAGAGGGTCCACTGGAACATCTTGTGGTGCTGGCCCTTGTGAGGAGGACTGTCCAGGCTCATGCTGTCTGCTCCCGGCCTCTGTGTGAGGTGCCTTCCTCCTCTTTGCCTCTTGGGCCAAGAAGAACTCGCTTGACTTGCGGTGGCGCTGGGCATCGCGTTCTGAGGCCTGTCGCGCCTCACTCTGGCTTGAGGAGATCACCGCGTCCTCGTTGGACCCCGCTTCTCGAGGCCCAGCTTCTCCTTCATCTCGTGCTTGGGGCCCGGCCTCATCATCTCCAGGCTCCTGCGGTGGCTTCGGCTGCTGGCGCAGGTCAATAAAGCCAGTCCCGCCCGAAGCCGGCACCGCATCTAACAGCGCAGTCTCGTCGCCGATGGCCAGCCATTGGTTCACCTCCTCCTCGTTCGCCTTGGCCAGGTGCTCGGGCGAAACTGCCAGAAGTATTCCCCGATGGCTGACCCAAACGGTGTGCGAGCCCTCACGCCCAATGACTCGGGCAACTCCACGCCAACAGTTTGGCCCAGGCTCGCGGTGCGCCGCGTCATAGTAGAACACGTAGGAGCCCACCGGGAACGGTCCCCTTGAAGGTCTGACTTGCCGAAGCTCCGCCCGACGAAGTGCATCATCATTGGCTGCTCGGGCGAAGGCTTCCCGGGCGGCTTGCCGAAGCTGCGCCTTCCTGAAGAAAACGCTCCCCGGTGTTGCGGTCAACGCCTGTGCTCCCAAACGGGTGACCTCGCCATCGTCTGCCAAATCAGCTGGCAATCTCAAGTCGCGGCCTAGCACCCATTGGGCCGGGGAAAACCCGGCCTTCCTCGTCAAGGAATTCTTCCCTTGATTCACGGCTGCAGTCAGCAGCTTCACCTCTGTAAGTCCGGCCACCTGCTGTGACCAAGCAGCTCGCCGAAAAGAGGCTTTCCATATACCACCATGCCTCTCTATCTGGCCCAGCTGCCACGGTGATGCTCGGGCCACCGGCTCCACATGACATCCGTGGCCCGCCAGTTCTTCGGCCACTTCCGCCAAAAAATATTT